TGAGGACAGTCCGTCGTCACGCACCAACCCACGAAGTTGTTACCCCGCTTAGTCCTCCTGCACTTGTCAGGTTCGCCCGCGCCCACAGTCCGCCATGGCCCGCGTCAACCCCGCGCATTCGACACCAGCTCGTCGGGTCGCCCAACTCCTGCTCTACTCAGCTCTTTCTTCGCTCGTGTGCCGACTCTCACTGATCGCGCAACCCCGAGCTTCCAATAATGGGTTAAGAGAGCTAACTAATCGCGCAGCCGTAATTTATAGCGTGCATGCATGCGCGAAGAACACGGAATCACAAAGACTTAGAAGGAGAAATGGGAGGGATTGCCTACGTCTGCATGGCCAGACCGCGGCGTGGGGGGGGACGTAACCCCCCTCTCCACGCATCGATCCGATCATGCAGGCGCGGCTACTGAGACACAGCAAAAGAAAGAGACGAAGGGCCGGAAAAATGAAGTTCAAGAAGAGAGATACAGTTACAATGGCGCCCGCCCAAAATTACAGTTACACACAAGATTAAGGGCGCCGGGTAATTAGAACTCCGGCGCGGTCGCAGAAAGAAGCGCGCAAGCGAAAAGCAACGTGCGCGCAAAAGAACTCTAAATCTCTAAATTTTTAAATTCCTATCTAATGCAAAAAGGAAATAGCCTCAAATTTTGAAAAAAGAAGCTCAAAATTCCGAGAGCCGTATAGGCTCGGCAAAACCCAGAAGGAATTCGAAAGCGAAATTCAAAAAGAAAATTCGAAAAGAACGAAGCAAAAACTCCCGCGCGATGTCCGCGCCCAAAGTGCGACAACAGAAACAAGAAGAAGCGATGTCAACATTTATGAATCGCGCGCACGGCGGCGCGCCAGCCCATCGACCGACCAATCAACCGTCCATCCCAGGACACACCCAGCTCTGAACCCAGCCATCCGAAAAGAATCGATGCAAAAGGACGAAGAAGCAAGGACACTGATGCAATTTCCCACCGATCTCGATCTCCCGTAATTGGCCCAACCTTACCAACTTAGGACCCCTCATTGCAATCGCGCAGAAAATCGTGCGATGCAGAAAGTAGTTCATCACATGGTTGCCTCTTGGGCGGTGACGTCCAGGCCGCTCGGCCTCCTAAGCAACCGGTACCTCCTCCTTTTTGGAGGGAAACATCATTGCAGACTCTGATATTGCCCGTATAGGCCCTAGACTCAGGCTACTTGGATTGGTACCGACGTACACCTACACTACTGGGCCTCCAAAAATGCCAACTTTTTGTCTTTTTCTGCTCCGCCTCCAGTTCCTGACACATCTCCCTCGATGCACGGTGGTATCGGCCTACCTGCTACTCGAGTGTTTTTCCTTGCTGCTCTAAGTGCCTCGGGCCTCTCCCGGCCACTTGAGCGTTTCCCCGCTGCGATCCCTCATGGTCACAGCCACAGGTAAGTACCGACCCTGCGGGGCCCTCAGCAAGCAAGTACCATTCCTGTCACACACTCACTCGTCGGCAAGCACTCAGACAGGCATACAGGCCAACAAGGATGCGCACACATAGACTTAGAAAACTCAGCAGAACATGGGAAACTCAGTAAGGCATTGGTTCCAGTGGCAAAACTCAGAAATCAGTTGTGTTCTCAGCTTATGTTTGTGCAGGTCCTTACACCTTGGCCTCGGCCAGTAGACACTACCTGTTGCAGCAACGGGGTATATATATATATCGTCAAACAGAGCTGCTCGGTAAACCGTAGGCAGAGAGGGAGAAGAGGACAACAAACGAGGGGCTGTGACAAACTGTTTCGTCGGAGTTTCACCGACTCATTAGGAGGCTGAACCCTATATATATATATATATATACATTTACCG